GGGGCTTTGATCGGCAATCGGTTCGTTTCCATGAAACGAAAGCGTCGATGCTCGTTTTCGGATTACGAAATGCCATCGTAATCTCTCTCCGATCTTCGTTTTTCTTTGCTTGTTCTTCGACGATCGCGAAAACTGACGCACTTTCGAGTCGTCGCGTCGACGCGGTCCGCTGTCTCATTTTCAACCTGTTCCGTTTGTTTTCCCGTAGTTGTTTTCTTCGCTCGAGAGGGAACGAAGAACGTCTCGATAAAACGCTTTGAAAAAACATGCTCGTCTCGCACTGTCTCGGCGCTTACGACGCGAGCAATGCGTAAGTTTTCTTCTCGACATATTTGTATCTTTGCATCGCTGTCTCGTCCTCGTCCTCGTCCTCGTTCTCGTCGTCGTCGTCGTTGTTGTTGCGGTGGCGTTGCGTTGGTAAATAAAATATTACGATATTTAACCTTAAGCATACGTACTTGTTGTTAATTTTCTTTTCCTTTTTCGTTCTTTACATTCCTACGTGCTTTGAAAACTTGTACAAATACATTCGACCGACATACACGACGTATAAAAAAGCACACGCGCGCATACATACGGCATACGTTGACGATTCCTTTGCAAAGTAAAGGATCGTCGCTTCTTCGTCGTTTCCATCGCTCGCGTCTTTTCCCTTCTTTCTTCTTCGTCGTATTTCGAATTACGCGTGTCTACGTTGTTTAATTTTTCACGTACGAGGCGTAGAAATATTACGGTGTTAAATTGCGGTATACGTAAAAATTATATCTGAATTTCAATGTGATAAATATCGATCGGTGAAGTACTTTCGTACGAGATACCAATACTCATCCCACAACAACAACAGTAACAACAATAATTCTCTTTCGTCCGTTATTATCAAAGTGCACGAGTAATAAAGAGTACGATCGAGTCGATAACTATCGTTGACATATACGTTGAGAGATGCGATCGTAGAGTAGCAGATCGAACGTTTAACGTTCAACGTTGAGCGAGGCGCACGGCGGAGTGTGCTCTCGTCGAACTGGTACACCGAACGTATCGAAGGAACTTGATCGAGTTCGCGAACAAACCGTGGGCTTATACCGGGAGTATTGTATGGTAAATAAGTAGGATAGAAAATTTTCAAATGGAAAAGTAAATTGAAAAATAGTGGAGCGAAGCTCCGGAGAATATCGAGCTGGGAACGATAGATTTATGCGTATAAAAATAAGAATTTATCTCGATGTTAAAAATTTATC